ATGCCTGAGGGTTAGACAGGCCAACAGTGAAGGGACACCACCTTCAGCAGTGATAATTTGAGTAAGATAGCCCAGCTGCTGCTTATTCTGCATGGAACTCCATGGCTTGTGGGTGTGCTGGGCAGGCCAGGCATCCTGGGCTTTTCCAGGGACACAGTTCAGCAGCTCCAGGCTTTTGGAAGGGGCTGGACTTGGGAGAAGTGCTAAGGCATTTAGCTCAAACAAGACACCTGTACCCTTGAACACGTGCAGTGGCAAACTTTGGAAATCTAAATATGTTTCTTACTTAAAACTTTAGAGTCTGTGTGGTTAAATTGAGATTAACTTGCTGGCTGTCTGGCTTGTGTTTCTGCCGAGATCTTGCTTTAATTTTAGCACTCCCCAGGAAATCAGTATAGGAAAGCGGCAGAGGGATCCAGGGAGTCACAGGCTACCAGATTGCTCTGGGCAAATCTGCCTGGCAGATGCAGTTAGCTGGAAGATCCAGGAGAGCAAGGGCTCAATGGGCTGTCCAGCTGGCACCGTGTCAGGGATGCAGGAACATGCAGGCAGGCTCCAGAAAACCCTGTCAGTGCAAAAGATGGGCAGAGGGTTCGCGACATTTCCAAGGACTCAATGCCTCCAGCTGGCTTATGCTACATAGCTGGACTGCTCGTGCACAGTGCACAGGAGTGGTGGGGAGACCAAGGCAGAGCAAGGTCTCTGGATGTCTTGAGAGCCCAGCCCAATGCTCCCCACCAAGTCATAACAGCAGGCAAATGGTCCCACATCTTTTCCACAGTCCATCCTTGCCTTGGCATCCTCCAGCCTGGGGGCACAATGGTGATTTTGCATGGCTTGCCTGGGCAGCAGACTCTACTTTCTGAGAGAATTAGCAGTCATTACTGAAGGATGCAGGTTTTAGTTACAAAACCCGTAAGGATTTTCATATCATTCAGTCCTGAAGAGAAAGAAATGCTCTTTTCAGAGGAAAATACAGGTGAAAATAATAGGGCATGGAAACTGAGTCCTGTTCATAAGTCAGTGGGACCCATGTCAAAGACATGAAAAAGCTGTAGAATTTTTGCTTTTCCTGGAAAACCAGCGTTTCTTTTACCGTAGCAGACACGTAAATTGCTATTAAATTATATACAAGGTGCTGAAACACTTCTGTTTTCTTAAGGGGAAGAATTACAAATAGCTATTATATGTCATGCAAAAATAACAGTGCTTATAAAATAATATGTGCTTTGAATGTTACAGAAAGCAATTTCCAATTCTGTAATTTTTCATATTTTTTCCCAAATACGCTTCCTCTGCATTTTCTTCCTTAGACCTGGGACAGTCCGTAAACATCAGTAAACCATTTGGCTGTCCTTATCCTGAAATACCTTTTCACTGCGCCTAAAATAAAATACCTCCTCACATGTCAGGTGCTGCTTTTTTTGCTTTTTATCCTGAGCCCATCTGCCTGCTGGTGTCCTGATGCTGTCATTCCCTGGTACTTGAGTTTTCAGGGCAGAAGCCTGTTCTTTGATTTTAGTTTGGACTGGTTGGAAACTGTTAGTCCTGATTTATGACTGAAGGATTAGGCCAAAGCCAAAGGGCAGCAGGAGCGTGCTGAAAAGACTGTTATGTTAACCTTCCTTCCATCCATCTTTTGCAGCCCCGCTGGCCAGGCTGGAGTGGGTGGGGACCCATTGCAGAGGCTGTGCCATGTTAGAGACCCAGCTGTTATTCACATGGGCACTTGCCAGCCTTGATGGGAAAGATCAGGGAAGCTGGAGGAGATTTATTTGTCAAATACCACCCATTTTTATCTGGGTGGTGTGATCCAGCAATCAAAACTTTGAGAAACACTGGCTTAGGCACTAGCCCAGCAGGCATGATGAATGAACACAATAACAAGGAAAAAAAGAGCTCAAGATGTGCCTGAAGTTACATAAAGTGAATTAGGCTGCAGTCCCTTGCCAACTCACTTTTGCAAGGTAGTTCAGTAAAGAAGTTTTTCTGGGATGATGCCCTTTAGAAGGTGAGAAAAGGGGTAAGAAAATTTCTCAGGGCTATTTTTTGCTGGTAGCACAACATCCCACGAAGGTCACTGGAAATAGAAAACCTGCTGTTTCTGCAGAGGGCTTCTCAGGAGCTACCTGTGACTTTCTAAGCATATAGCCTTGCCCAAGATTTAATTCTGTTTAGCCTGAATTGAGAGGTGGGCCTTTCTTGGGCTAGTACTAAATGCACCAAGATCCGTTTTCAGCTCTGAGTGAGGTACAGCTTCTGATGGCTCAGAAGTGTGAATGCCAAGCTGTGCATCACTTTTGGGGGAAATGAGCAGGTTTCAACAGGATTCTGGAGGAAAGTATTTTACTATTTTGTGGGTCTTCTCTCCCTGAATCTTCCTTCAGGCTCCCCCTGGTGTTTGCAGTGTGTATTACTGCCACCTTCTCCAGGCCTGTTTTTGGCCTAAATTTACAGCAGCTTAAGTTGAGTGACAGCACTGAAATTTTTTAGGTTCATATAAGGTTGAGATGCAAATAGAAGCTTTCAGTTTGCTTTAAATACGACAGTTGACCCGGCTGGGATTTGTCTGGTTTAGACTACTACCATTCAGAGAACTGAAAATTCATTTCCCCTGAAGCTACATATTTCTGTCTGGTAAATGAAATGATGCCTGAGGACAGCCACCAAACAGTTTGCCTGTGCAAACTATCTAGTTACTGCAGGTCTGGCTGTGGGAAATGTAAGCAGCAAGTCCTAAGCATCATTGCAAATCGTGCACTTGGGCTGCTGTCAATTTGTTCCAGTAGTGTTTGCTCCTTTTTCCAGTCCTGGCTAAGAAGGAAAGGCAATTGAAATTAGAGTATTAAGAGGTGAATTATGGGCTTTAACACTAAGCCACGCTTGTGGCTGTGACTCTCATAAAAGTGATATCCTGAGGCCGTTCTCATGTTACAGTAATTGCATGCATAAAACCCATCCCCAGCAGCACTCAGCAGGCCAATTCCACCCACAAACTCGAGCCCGAATTTTGATTCCTCTGTGAATTCCCCCTGCTCCCCACCAGCAATCTGTTACACCCGTTTTCTGCCGTTCTGCCACAAATCCCGCCCCTGGGCTGAAACACTTCGCAGCCATACCCAGTTTGGGCAGCACGGAACAATTTGCCGAGCAGGGCTAAGCCTGTTTCCCGGTGCTGAACACTGCAGGGGCTAACTTCCAGACACCAAGCTGACTTTGTGAATTTATCACATGAAAATGAAGTGTTTCCTCTTCCTTTAAAATGGCAGGAAGGAGAAGGTTGTTTAAGAACAGATCCATACATGCTGAACACCCTATTCCTGGCACCAACAGCCACCTGCTCTGTATGTTGGGCAGCAGCCTGCCTTTTTGGGACAGACAGAGATGTGCTGGAGCTGCCGGAGAGGCTGTCCAAAGGAGGCAGATGGTGGCAAGGTGGTGTGATGGTGTATGGGGCCATGGTGGCAGGCTTGGGATGTAGACTCTGAAGTGAGTCCAAAGCCCAGGTTTGGGCACTGTAAGCTAACAGCAGTCATAGCACAAGGTGGGATATGGAAAAAGTCAAAGGGAAAAAAGGCATAACTGTTCTTGTTATGCTGATCTTTTTTATTTTTTTAAATAAATGGCTGGAATTATTTTGTTATTAGAGTACATATTTTTGCAACAGTATCTTCCTCTCTTAAAACTCACATGATTTATCTCGGATCTTTGTGGGAGTTCTTAGACTGATTTCAATAAGCTTTTCATAGTCATCATCTTTATTATGAAAATCTGTGTCCTGAGATGTTATATACCCCAGTGGCAGCAAACCTGCTGTGCAATTCAGTGTGTTATAATGCAAGTCACTAGCGTGCTTGAAATAATGAGGTTGGTTTGTTCAGTGGGATATGATGAAAAATAGAGGCTACTGCTGGGAGCTCAGATTTGATTTAAATTCCTGATGGAAAAGGTTCCCTATTAAAATACCGTTGCAGGTTACTATGTTTGTATATTCTTTAACTTCCATTTCATGCTGGACAATGAAGAGGCCAGAAGAGATTTTTTTATCTTCTGCCCAATGCATATAAACAGCGTGTTAAACTGAGGCCTTGGACCCTTCTGGTGCTGTTGGAATTAAATGTTGGATTACATTGGACTAAACACCAAGAGAAATGGTGGCTGTGCTGGAATAAATGGGAGATCTGAGCTTTGGGTTCAGTAGCACTGATCATTCCCCGAGTGTCAGGGTTCTCAGGTCTAACCCTCTCCCAGGCAGCCCCTACCTCATTCTTAGTATGGGATGAGAAGAAGGAGCTGAGTTGATTGCTTCCTACTCCTTCCCTATCTGGAAGTTGGGGAGAGAATATGGATTTCTTTCCTTTAACTAATGGGAAGCCTTTATAGCTACCCTGCAGCTTCAGTCTCTCCCGTGCATCTCTCACCTTCTCAGTGAAATTGATAGAACAACTTTCTGTAGATGATTTATATGGTCTCATAACTTTATTTTCTGCTTAGTAGTAGGAGCTGGTTTGTCAGAAACTGACTGTGAGTCGGTGATACCTGTGGAGAAAAATCTAGTGAGAGAAAAAGGTGCCAGTTTACACAGTGTTTTAGCCATTGCTTGAACTTAATTGGATCTTACAAACCCAGCGTGCGAGATTACCTATATCCTTTTTAAAGGAATGCTTTCCTCATAGCACTTAGACCTTGACATAAATGCTAATAAATCCATAAAATGTCTTAGCATTTGGCACAGGAGCCTTCAAGGCACTAAGCAAAACAGGATATAAATGGAAGAGCTCTGTGTACATAAGGTTGCAGAACTGGCTGTGGCTGCCTGCGAAACAGATTTAATAACCTGCACAAGTCCATGTTATTTCAGCTTAAGGTTGATGTATATTTTGTTTGGAGCATTTTCTCCTTTATAGATGCCTAGTTTTACAATTAGATGTGCATTTTAAAGTAGCTGCTATCTCCAATTTGCAATATAAACCAAGAGGGCTGATTTTCCCCTTTTACAGGGCCGGGGCGGCAAAGGAAGCATCTACGTCTGGGCCTCTGGAGATGGGGGCAGCTACGATGACTGTAACTGTGATGGTTATGCATCGAGCATGTGGACAATCTCTATCAATTCTGCTATAAATGATGGACGGACAGCTCTGTATGATGAAAGCTGCTCTTCAACTTTAGCCTCCACCTTTAGTAATGGGAGGAAGAGAAATCCAGAGGCGGGCGTGGTAAGTCCAGATATTATTGTGCTGTTGCTGCTGTCTTTGTGGACTCCCACGACCTATTACAACTCTGTCTGCTCTGGAGCAGCAGATGGTTCTTTGTTGAGATGGGTATTTTTCTCATCTGCAGCACATGATGGTGCCAAAACTGTCAGCTGAGGAGATGTGGGATTAATATTGAGAACAGCAATGATCTTCCGTCTCTTAGAGCTTCATACAGTTGGTGCTTTCCTTTATCAGAAACCAGATTTAGAAGTTCAATTGCACTCTGTCCAGAGGACAGTGTGACAAAAGGTCTCTGTAAAAATCTAAATGAAAAGTGTCAACATCTGAGATCATACTTACTTGTACTGGCAGACCAGTCATGAACCAGACTTCTACTGCAGTACAAGCTGCACAGAGCAGAAGGACATTCAGTCACCCACAGAGGAAATGTGGGGGTTCAGACCACCCTCAGAAAAGTCTCCTATCAATATGCGGAGCATCATACTCAAATCCCCTACAGGGCCATACTGTAAAATATGCAGTGTAATTGGGATTTTCTTCCACTGTCCTGATCGCTGCTCTTCAGCACCTTCAGACTAGCCAGGACATAGTCTAGTTCACAGAGTGGAAAATTCAGGTGTAGTAACTCAAGGTTAGTTTTTGCCAAAAGCTGTTGCACATTTTCCATGGCCCTATCTCAAACACCAAAATCATCTTAAATGCCCATGTGCAGTAGCAGGTGGAAAAATACTGGTTTCTGTCTTGATACCAGCTCTGTTTTGCTATCAGCCGAGATGATCTATGGCACCTTTGTAATTCCTGCCATAAAATGTGTTTCTAAGGCTTTCTTCCAGTCTCTTCTAGTAACTAATCTGCATAGAAGGTAGCAGTCTGATACTGCTGTTGGTTCTGGAGTTGCACAATTGTTAGAAGGGTCAATACTCTTAATAATTCTAGTTTCAAATCCTTCTGATAACCACAAGGGAATTTAAGGCCTTTGGCTAAACTGTGTTTATAGGAAATAAATGCCATCTATGTGAGTTTGAGTTCTAAGTGTAATGAATGTTGGTTTGCTACATCATGATTTATTCTTGCATTCACACCTTCTGTAGCTATGTCTCACTGTGGTTTTAGATTGATATGCTATTCTAAAGAAGAAAACAGATCCTAGGAGCAAACATACAGTTACTCGAAAGAGCAAGGGCACAAACTCCACTTTCTGTATTTTTCTGAGTCTGTAGCTGCAAGGAAAATGGACTAGCTGGTTTCATTAATTACATCTAATTTCATTGCAGGCTACAACGGATTTGTATGGCAACTGCACCCTGCGTCACTCAGGAACATCTGCAGCTGCCCCTGAAGCAGCCGGAGTGTTTGCCTTGGCCCTGGAGGCTAAGTATGCTGTTGAGAAGTTCCTTGTGAGCTCTAAGAGAGGAGAGGGCCTGCGGTTTGTTTAATGTTGTTCATCATACAAGTTGGCTGTGGCAAGGGGCTAGAACAAGCAACTAATACACTGCTACAGTAGTGACATGCAGGGTAACTTACAGATGGAGCGACAGTCTTGCCAAAGCCATATAGGAGATATGTTTTGGCTGACTTGCTGTCTCTGTGTCCCCTCCATCCAGTGCTTCCAGGGGTTGGTCTTCTCCAGCACTGCTTGGAGGGAGAGATTATTTCATTTCTCCACATATCCAGTGTGGAATGCCCAGCCTACAGAGACATAAGAACAAACCTGTGGCATTAGACAGGAGTTCATCTTGTGCCACATTCTGTCTGCAATGACAGATGCTATGGGGAGGGTACAACAAACTGGGATTGAGAGTGACCTTACCACGACAGCTTTGGCACTCAGCGGTTTGGAGAGAGAGCAGTCAGCCTATCCTGTTTAATAGCCACAGGCAATTTATCTTCCTTGAATTTGTCTAACTTTTTTTCAACTTCTCCATATGTGGCACCTGTATCATCCAGTGGCAATCAGTTCCACAGTAATAATAGTTTTTGGCCATAGCAGTGGGGAATGTTTCCTTTGTTTTTTCTTAACCCAGTGCTGATAATTTGCTTCTGTGCTACATAATTGCTCTGTTATGCGGAAGAATAAGTATCCATTGTCTATTTACCATCTCCATGCTATTCATGACGTTGGAGACCTCTTGTATATCTTGCTTCATCTTCTCTAATGATTAGGAAAAGTTTTCCGTACAATAACCTATACCATCCTTTTACTTTGTGTTAAATTATTTTATGAGGTGAGACGACATTTGCTCAAATATACAGCTGCAGCTGCTGTAACCGCGGCATGAAGTGAGGACTGTGTACATAGTTTTCTTCAGCCATATGCAGGAGAACAGAGATTTGGCAGAAGAGACAAAGTTTCTATCATTAGCAGAGAAATGATTGTTGTGCCCAGTGCATGACTTGGGCCAAGTCTCATTTTTCAGGTTTTATACACGTAAAACACACGTCACGTGTTTAACTTTGGGTGATCCATCCTTCTGCTATCAAATTCATTCAGTGGGACAGCTATGATGTAATAAATAATTGTGGCCATAAAAATATAAAGGTTTAATTAATTTTCTGACCACTGCATGTTTAACCTGGACTACAACGTTATTATCTCAGTGATAATGACCATTCCTCTGCATTTGGGCTATCCATGAAGACTGGACTTACTCTTGCCAAACTATGATGAGTAGAAATTAGACTAACACCCTTGGTTTGCAATTGGTTTTCTATCCTTTGCTGAGAAGACGGATGGGGGCAGGGGGAAGATTTCTGTCTCCTTCCAGGCTGGCTCTATCCAATCTCCATTTTAGTGTGCAGAACTACCCTGGATGAGTTACCCTAGCCTTCACAGGCTGGCTAACCATGTCCTGTGTCTGCAATGTATCTCTCAGCTCATATACAATATATGTCTGACACAGTCTCTAAAACCAAGCCAATCTGTGAAATGGCAAGTACAGTTTTAAGATATGTAGCAGCTCCTGAAAAGTTTCAATAAGAATGATGCAAGCGATATCTGGTTTTCAGCTATCTTATGTCACCTTGGAAAAATGACAGTAATTGGCTGTTCTGGTGTACATTCAACATGCACACATGCTTATTAGTTGGGGCACAGAAAGCTGAAAAGTGGATCCTTTTAGGTTGATGGTTTGAATCAGACATATTGTAATGTTGAAAGAGTTCATCGTAAAACAACTGGAGTAGCTTTAGTTATGTAGAATTAGAATGCCAGTTCTAAAGCTTCCAGAATAATAACTTATAAGTGCCCTTCCTCTCATCATAATCACTGCAAATCTAGGAAGACAAGAGCTGATGATGAAAAATGATCATTTAATTCAGACAAATGTTACTTTACTGTATCCATCCATGCTAGTATATCACGGGTGACGAACCTCTGCCATACCTTATAATATGAACCTATAGCCACCCGCAGCCCATATACCCATGTTCCCAGACTACCAAAATTACTAAGACCTTGATTGTTGTAGCTCATCGGCATCATCAGAACAGGGCTTCTCTAGGTGGACCTTGGAAGGACCGTGGGAAAAGCAGGAGGAGCAGGCGAGGAAAAGAGGGCAAGATTTGAGAGGAAGGCTAGGTGAAATTCTGTCATCATCCTTTTCTTTTTGTATTCTTTTCATGATCTGGTATAATATCGTATTCATTTTACTAGCTTAAAAATTGCATGGTGGATCTACAGTGCGTAGTTGAAAGCAGTTGTTTTTAAGGACAAGGAAACAATCAGAAATGATTTTGCAATGTTGGGGAATATATTTTGGGGAAGTACTATACAATTAAAACCTATTCTTGTTCCCACTGAAATCAACAGACTCTTTGGTTTTGATATGTATATAGATACATTTCTGTGTGATTCATAGAAGCAAATTATACCCAAAAGACTTACTGAGACACACTGCCTTTCTTTAATTTCTGCTTGGAAATACTGTGCTGTTTGGTTTCCATATTCCTTTTCCGCAGCTTGGATCTGACGTGGAGAGACATGCAGCATCTGACAGTGCTCACCTCCAAGAGGAACCAGCTTCACGATGAGGTTCATCAATGGCGTAGAAATGGTGTTGGGCTGGAATTCAACCATTTGTTTGGCTATGGTGTCCTAGATGCAGGAGCAATGGTTAAGATGGCGAAAGACTGGAAGACTGTTCCCGAGAGATTCCATTGTGTTGGGGGGTCAATACAGGAACCCGAGTAAGTGAACAGTGTCTATGTGTTTGGCTTCTTCCAGGCATTTAGAAGACCACAAGCATGCAAATATGTTGACAAAGACATAGACAGTCAAAGAAACATAATGAGATTTTTTTTCTAAGAAAGCCTAACATTACCAGAAGCGTCCCATCTATTTCAATAAGTTGATAAACTACATTATCATTCAGTTCTTGGTTTGCTGAAGGAGTACACTTTACAGCTCATCTGTATCATCATTGCTAGTGCCAGTAATGTTAATAGCAACATCCATTTCTCCTGGGTACTTACGGGTATGTTTGTGCCAAAGTTTCTGTGAATAAAGAGTCTGTGCACAAGTGAAAATCTGGGAGGCTGGCACTGTAGGAGGCATAAACTGCTGTCACATGAAATATCTGTCAGCCAGATCATGCCTCCTTGTGACATATTCCAGCAGACAGTTTTATCTGCAGAAGACTGAAACAATCATCTACAGGTACCAGCGATTCAGTCTGAACACTACAGCATTTAATTGTGTTTGGTTTATGTTCTTCAAATCTCTAATTGCAGGCTGGGTAGTCAAACGATTTTCTGATTTACCTTCCTGTGCTAAAGTGAATGAATTAATACTAATTGATTGCAACAGCTATAGTTCAATTTAATTATTTGAAATACTAACCTAATAACGGCCAATTTATGTCTATACCATTTGAAATTCGACTTTTCAGTGCCATTTTTGAAGGCATCATTATTCTTCTGGAAAAAGAAAGCAAACCAGTATGGCACCCTGGCACATAGCTCAGCCAGGCTAAGAGTAAGTTTGTTCTCAGCCTTCCAGATGGGTTTGTATGTGTAGGGTCCAAGGTTCTACAGCTGAGATCTGGGTTTTAATTTATCTGGCCTACGCATGCTCACAGGTAGGAAACAAATGAGAGTGCTGAAGCTGATTTTGAGCTATCTCTGGTTTATTAATAATGTAAATGCAGACAAATAATCTCATTTATCTTAGTGCAGCTGCATTTATTGAAATAGGGATCATGCTAGAGAAAGAGAGAAAATTTCTTTCTGTAGGCTTGGCCCATGCCTTAGACAATGTGGTAGAGGTATTCTGGGAACAGACAGAGCTGGAGTCGGCAAGTGCTATGCCATAGTATTGTCTCCTCCTGCCTTTGTTTTTCTGTCCTGTTTCTGCTGTTGGATGGATAGAAAAGCGGAGGTGATGGTGCATTTCCTCCAGCCCAAGGATTTGGAGCTGCAGTAAAGCTTCCCTATAACTGTTATTGCCCCACAAGCTCCAGAGTTGAGAAATACACTGCCTTGTGTTGGTGTCTTTTGAGAGCAGCACCCAGAACAGGCTTTGAGCTTACAGCACACAGGTTTGTAAAGTCAGCCGAATCAGTCGCCACCTAAGCCTCCTAACTCTACCGCAGTATAATCTCAGTGTGCCATCTGTGTGGGTGCCCCCTATAATTACCTGACAGATCTATATGTTAATAGGACTGCTGTAATATTTACATGCCCCAATGAAAATGTCACTGATAGGAGATAATAAGCATCATGACTTGCGACATCTACATTTTTTGAAGTACACTGTAAATAAAACTAGTGAAGTCCCAGCATCTCCAGAGATTGCTTGGAAATTAAAACTACACTGCACTTCTGCCATGGATAATTGGGTTAGTTTTCTGTTTTGGCCTTGCCTGGAGCAAATTTTATGTATATTCTATATAAGTATAGATATTTGTATGTATAGAATACATATTCAATATATATTTAGGTAGGTGAGTAGTTGATATAGAAGCGTGTACCGTAGGAGCATTGACAATTAGCAGAAACAGGCCAGGAAAGAATTGGCAGCCTAGAATACATGGTGTGCTGAAAGCAATCAGTATTTAAAGTGCAGCATTGCTCTGCTGCATGTAGAAACACTTGTTAGTAACAGGACTTTCCCTGAAAAGGGATTTTCGTTGGGTCAGCAAAAAGAAAAAGAATGGACAAGTCTGAATCTGGCTGGTTCAGGGAGATGGATACATGATTTAGGACATCATAGTCCATTCGCTGAGGAACAGGAGCTTGGGAGTGGGCTTCTAGAGAGCGGTTGACTCTCCCTGCTTGTCTCTAATGGGGTACTACACTTGGTGCAAAAATGAATATATTTTATACATATATATAGCAAATGGGCAGGGGAAGACTGTGAGGGTGTGGAAGAGCCATCTCCTCTTCTGCTCCTTTCATGTCGGGCTTTTTCCACCACCTCTGGATCGTTTTGTTTCTTTGGGGAAATTCGCCTGGACTATAGTAATCAGTCTAGCAAAGCAGAGAGTACTGGTTTCTAATTAATAGGAAAGGGGGAAACAGAGCGAGCCTTTCCTTGTGTGTTTTAGAGAGCTGAGAGAACTTTTGCGCTGCAACATTTATGAAGGTGGAGAGAGAAGCTGACTGCAGCTGTCAGGCTGCCTGCAAAGTGGATGCAGTAGTAACACTGCTCTTATTTCTTCAGGTTTTGGTGTTGATAGATAGAAAAGACTCACACTATGGTGTCCTCTCTCATTTACTGGAGGAGATAGAAAGCACTTATCACAACTGTCGGAATGAAGCAGTGTTTGACAAAGCTTTGTCTGCTGTGTGAGACTGCTGTGAGGCAACGTGAATTCAGATTGCTTTGGGGTTGATGCTTCCCGTGCAGGGAAATTGCAAGCCTGTGGCAATTGTGAGATTATGCTCCTTCACCTCTGTCTGGCATATAGTGCATTTTCCTTGTGCTTTGGCACACAAAATAAATCTTGAGGGTATTATAAATTATATATTCAAATGTTTTAGCTATACAACATTTATATTAGACCAGCTTCTGCTCCAGGGCATCCATGAGATTCAAAACAACACAGGTTTTTCAGTTTAAGGTAAGCATTGAAATGCCTTGAGGACCTGGACCTTGAATGTCATCTACCTGCAAGTACTCCCAAGAAGGCAATACTCTATGAAAGGGGGACAAAGATGGGCCTGAGCCAATTAGTGATGCACTAAGCTGTAGTACCTGGAGCTCATCTCAAGAAGAAGAGAGTTCCTGGAAGCTAGGCTTGAATAAGATGCTTTCACTGGTCTCTGAAGAACACACTATTTCATTAGCAAAGGGAAGAGGCTCATTTCTTTTGAAAAGGTGGTATTCATTACTGCAGTGTGGTCAGTGCCCTTTAAAAGGGACTCTTATTTTACTGCAAAACCCAGGTCATGGAGAAGCCACTGGAAAAAGTAATGACTGGAGTCTTTTGTGACTTACTCTCTTTTTTAATGATTGCAGTAATTCTCGTCTTTCAAGTATTTCTTCTAGACAGAGGAAAGTGTCAAACTGCTCACAGCACGCTGACAGTGGACGCAAAGTATTTTGTTTATGCTTCCCATTTAGTTTGCCAGCCAGTTTCTGAGGCAACTGGTAATTGCCAGTCGCATTCTGACCCCGAGGGGGTTATCAGGCACTCGGCAGCCTTGGCCGCTGGCAGGGTGCTGCTCCCAGGCCAGGCAACAGTGCCTTCAGGCCTGCGCTGAGATCCCAGGTGGGTCTGCCCAGCGCACAGTGACTGCCAGCCTCCTCTGCAAGAGCTGGGAAGGCATCGATGTACCTTGCTCTCTCCGGCGCGTTCTCACCTCTTCTTGGAGGCATGCTTCGGAGTTGATGCTGCCTCACGGGTTTCCTCAGCCGCATGGGGAGCAACCACGCTGTGGGTGCCCAGCACATGGGGGAGCCAGGAGCACCAGCTGGTGTAATGTTGCTTCCTCTTGTGTGTAATTCAACCTGTTGACAAACGTTGGTAAGACCATTAACAGCTGTGAGGGATTGCACAGCCCAGACACAATGTGGTTTGCTCCTCTTCCACACCAGCTTCCAGGCGTTGCATCCCCATGTGTCTGACTCTCCAGCAAAGGAGCCCTGTGTGCTGATAACAGGGGTCTGGTTTCCATTCAGTGACAGGGTCCTTGCAAAATAAATGCAGCGGGACTGAGCCCCTGTTCCATCTGTGGGTCTGGCTTCCTGGCAATACTTTTTTTATATTCCACCCTCAAGGGACAGGTGTCCTTCAGTTAGTGTGAGTTTACCTTCACAAGGACTTCATTGTAATAACCAAGAAACTTGTGACTTCAAGGTGCAGCACTTGACAGCTCAGTGAATGAGCGTGACTTCTTTCCTCTGTGCATGTGTGTGTCTGTGTGTGTGCTCCTGTACCGGAGCAGTTCAAGGATAGCAAGTTTCATGGATAAGTATTTTCAAGTGAGCTGAAATTGGGATCCCATATTTGTGCTGGTTTCCAAATCAGAACAAGGGTGTAGGCTTGAATGTGACTGCACCGCAATTCTGCAGCTGCAACTGGCTCCTCTGACTCCACACAGGTGTTTGCTGCTGTTTTTTACGGTGACTGTCTGACATGACTGACTGCTCACCATTCCTCTACTGAATATACACATTATTGTGAAATTACCCAATATAGTAGCAATAAGTAAAGGCAGCTATTAAATATATGTTAATATTTCTTAAATAGCAGTGTGTACTTCTTAATTGTATTCCTTCTCCCTTTGTGTAGGTCTAAATTTCATAATATATTTTCAAATCAAGGTTTTGGTATCATTTTCTAAAAAGAGAATGTTCTCTTTCTGCCTAAGTTTGCAACTATTTTTTCCTTACTTTCCATGTATTAATAAGGAAAATAGTACAGGTTTTTCTGTGAGGCACCAAACCCCAGTATTTTTAGCATGAGCCACGTCACGCTGTGTATACCCTTTTGATTTGCTCAATTATCTTTTGACCTGCAGAAAGATACCGCCAAGTGGCAAGCTGGTCCTCACACTTACAACTGATGCTTGTGAGGGGAAGGAGAACTTTGTCCGATACCTGGAACACGTCCAAGCAGTTATAACTGTGAATGCCACCAGGCGAGGAGACCTCAACATCAACATGACCTCGCCAATGGGAACAAAGTCCATTTTACTGAGCCGGCGCCCCAGGGACGACGACTCCAAGGTGGGTTTTGACAAATGGCCTTTCATGACCACACACACTTGGGGAGAAGACCCCCGAGGCACCTGGGCTCTAGAGATTGGGTTTGTCGGCAGTCTACCACAGCGGGGCGTGCTGAAGGAGTGGACACTGATGCTGCACGGGACTCAGAGCGCACCATATATAGACCAAATAGTAAAAGATTATCAGTCCAAACTGGCCATGTCCAAGAAGGAAGAGCTTGAAGAAGAGTTAGATGAGGCAGTGGAGAGGAGCCTGAAAAGTATACTGAGCAAGAACTAGTGCTGTTCTGCATGATGGTGTCCTTCCTTCCCCAGACCCCGCTACTCATCTTTCTACTATCCAAGCCTCTGTGTTAGACATATTACAATGATCTGTCTCTGTAGCCAAATTATCACACTTCCTTGATTTTAAAGTCTTATATCTCGTCAATAATTACTTTAATTACCACTGAAGCAATCCTTTTTTTACTCTAAACCACAAATATACTGTTCCCCACCGAATACTATGTACAGTTTGTGACTGTAAATGATTTTTCTTTTGTGTCATACAAATAGGTAATAACCTGCAAAGCAGTTGATGGCTTTTCCCTTCATATTTTTGTGGTAAATGTTGTTTGTATTAAAAAAAAAAAAAAAAAGAGTGAATTTTAACATTGGCAGTTGGTGATAATGGGCACATTTAAAAAAAATTATTCTGGAGAGGGAATCACAGAGAGGTTGGCTGGAGAGATCTTTGAATGTCTAACAGCTCCTTCTGCATCATTGACTTCAGTGGGACTTTCCCCATTGGGTTCAACCAAAGTACCACTAGACCCTACAAGAAATAATCCAGAGGTGAAGAACATTTACCAATGCAATTTGCAGAAATCCAATTCTTTTGAGGGTTTTCTTTAATATATACACTTACACAACATGCATGCTAACACTTCAGCCACAGAATGGGTCAACAAGTATGCAATAAGGAAGGCAAAGCGATGCCAAAGCCAGGTGACATGGGGAAGTGCTTTGCAAACAGGGTCAGGGCATTCTAGAAGCACAAGTTTCAGTTTTGGTTGGTTTTTTTTTTTTTTAATTTTGGCAATTTAAATAAATTTTCCATCTTACAATAGAGAGAGCACATGGGGAGTGAGCTGTAGGATTTCTGGCAACTTGTGTGCAAAAGTGCATCTGCTCATCTCTGTACAGAGAGGTACAGCAGCATGAGGTGCAGCTGCGTCAGCATCTCCAACCACAGACCCCTGTTTTCTGGGGTTTACAACCTGGCTGTCGGTAAATTGCTGTGGGAGAAATTTGAAGTTTGCGTTTTCAGTCCCAAAGCAATTTTTAATTCAAATTTAATTTTTAAAAATAGAGATTTGTTATTTTTATGTTATACAAATATATTTAAGGAGAAAAATATACCTAAGTTATTAATGTGTAATGCAAAGTTGGCCTTCTTGGGAAATAAAAATATAGTGCATTTGGGAAGATTTGTTGATAATCACCACTCTTTGCTGTTTAAAGAGTCGATCCCACCTTCACTTTTCATATATGAGTAAAGTCGATCTCTCTCACCCTCAGAGTCTGCCGCAAGACCTAACATCCTCCTCAGTGGGAATTACTCATGGTAGCAACCACTACATGTTACCAGGTGTGAGATCCCAAATTTAACCTCCAAATAACAAAGGTTCTGCAAATATTTAGGCTCTCACTCACAGTAAAGGTCATCAGCGGACCTCCTCAAATGCTAATTTTAAGCAGATGCTTCGGATCTTTGCAGGATCCAAGATCTAGTTTTTAGCAGTGACTAGTTTGAGAATTTTATTATGTATTTTTAATATGCAGAGTATTAATCTAAAACATTTTAATAAGAGTTGTCGTGGTTGATCGGGTGCATAGTAGTAGAAACAAACTCATTCAGTAAGTAAATATTTACCTAACAAATCAAAAACATAACCCTGAGGTTACGTGGTGGACATGTTTCAGTTAAGAACATATAATCTATGCTGTTACTTCTAGTGAGTATCCATCTTTTATCTTTCTGTAAGAGGCCTGTTCTTTCCTTTACAAATCCAAATGCAAAATAAATGCTCAGCCTACTCAAAGTCTAGGTGAATTGCACTCGCATGCAATTTGCCAAGACAGGCAGCCTCGCACTACTCACAGGTTCCTCGTTGGGTGCAGCAGTCCCTTTGAACAGTTGAGTCACACTGGGATAAAACGGACATGAGCAGGAGAAGAATCAGGCCCCGTGTGATTTTTATTTTTTAAATGCTTTTGGTTCTTTGTTCAAATACATTGTAGTGCCAACTTTGTTTAATTTGGTGACTTAACCCCAGGACAAGATGGGCCCATTTCAAAGCATGAACTGGAGTCCATGAGGCAAGAGCCAAAACTCACTGAAGTTAAATGGGTCAGGGGCAGGTTTGTTGTGTCTTTGGAAGTGAATGGGTCGTGCTGACAGCGGTAGGTTTCCGTGGAAGGCACCTAGTTCTCAGAATGAGCAGTGTATACGTATCAGAGGGGAAGAATTTACCATATATATATATATATATATAT